TAGTAGAGACGGCTCTTAATCTTTCTTAAGCTGGTCTTGAACTCCTGAGCTCAAGGGATCCTCCCAGCATGCTAGGATTACAGGCCTGGGCCACCCTTTTGCATTTCATCTAATCCCTAGTTATAATACAGATCAGAAATAAAATTTAAAATCAATTACATTATCTTAAAACTGTTTTGTGTATACTCATCCTAACTTTATGAAGCCAAAACAAGGTTAAACGTGTCTCTCTAAAGGAGGAAAAAAAAAAGTTATAATTAAATTCTGAAATTTTCACTTCCAACACCATTCAATCTCTTTTCCTGAGGGTTTCACTGTTGGTTCCTCTACATTGTGGCAATGTAGACAAACCATAGCACCCTCACATTATGGACTTGTTTTTATGTATTCCATAGTTTCTTTTTCTCACAATCAGCTTCTTAAAAATAACTTAAATGGATTGGCCATGAGAGACACTGCAGAGGACCCTGGAGATTATCCTCTTTGTAGAAGAGTTTTATACCATTTTTTTGGTTTTTCTTTTCTTTTTTTTTTTTCCTGCACTCTTTACATGGAGAAATGGTTATTGTTTTCAACCTCCAGCTTTAAAGCTTTTAACAATCTGTTCTAGTCTTCTGTCTTCCTTCAAACCACCCCCACACCTCTTTCTGGCCATAAAAAGAAAAAAAAGTATCTCATTTATCATAAAACATCCATGGCTGCTTTTCAGATATCTGAAAATAGTATGAGCCAATTTCCCTCCTCTAGTGTAGTAACCAAAATGGAAGAGTATACTCTAAACATGGGCCAACTGGTACAGAACAAGTGAGATGATAAGCTCTTTTGGTTCTGTGCTGGTTGGCTTATGTTGAGAGTATACTTCTTAGATTAGATCCAAATCAAACTGGGCTTCTCAAGAGTTTCACCACATGGTAGACTTATGTTATATATTTTTTTCTTTTACATTCCAGAATTTTATTTCTAGTGTTCAATGTTTATTTAGCTTTTCCATCTCAGAACTTATTTTTGTACCTATGTGTAAGAATTTATATTTGATTCAACCAACATTTATTAATATCAGCTTATAAATTTGAATCTTCTACCTTGTATGTCTTCATTTGGGTTGGTGACGACAACATTTGAGAGAGCTGTGCACCCAGGGACCTTCATTTAGGTTGATGTCAATCCATCAGTCAATTCCACTTGAGTTCAGTTGGTGAACAAATGTAATCAGCCTAATTGTACAAATTTTTTTTTCAACTGCTGTCTCTTCTTCAAGGAGGTATAATTTTTAGAAAGTCAAGTGCCTTGATAAAATCTTTGGCATTTTCTGCTCCACCCATCCAGAAAACTTTTCATAAAATCTCATGAGGTTAGTTTGGCCTAATTTCTTCTTAGTGAACTCAGGCTATATATCAGTGATTGCTGCTAATTGCTCTTAAAATATCTATTACATTTAATAATATATCTTAAGGAGCTTTCAGTTTGATATGTCAAAATATAGACATTTTGATCGCCTTTCTCTATGGAACCAATCAAAAACAGTAAGTAAAATGAGAGATAAAAATTGAAACTCTATCTTTGATGAAACTTGAAAGCTTTTATAACCTTGACCCCAAAATGTAAGAGCTCCCATTTGTAGTGAAAACTGGATCAGGGTGAAGAAGACATGAGGATGCCTGCTGTTCTGGATTTCAGGTCACGAATAGAGTTACAAATGTGGGTGGCATGACCTGAGAGACAAAACAAATGATCTCTGTTTTGAAACAAAATCAGGTTTCATACTGGTAGATGTGAGAGATAGATAGGTTGACTTCTCAGTGGAGTGCCCAGCTTCAATTTTAGGGTAATCAGGGAGAATGCCTACAAGTGGGCAGTTCCTGGGGGTTCTTTAGATTCACAAAAGAGGAAAAGAATCCAGAGGTGCCCACGCCTACTGGTCAGAATGGACTAGGCCCATGCATTTGAGAGTCAACAGATGGGAGGGATTAAACTCTTCAAAAATGTAGTTAAACTAGAAAACCTAGTTTACTTCCCCTACCTGAACAGAACTGGCTTCTTCCTCCCCCTCTGTTTATACACACCACTGACTTTTACCAACCCCCTACCGCTTACTCTGGCTTTCTCTCTATCCAGTCTTCCTGGGAACTTGAGGTCCTTTCAGCCCTATCTTTTACATATACACTTTTGTTAAAAACTAATAAAAACCTTCTGAAAAAGCCAGGAAAGGGCTGTATTATCTCGGCCTTACCCAGCCTGAGTTAGTGTAAGCCATCTCCAGGCATCCTCAAACTTTGTTTTTCCTAAAAACTAGTGTTGAGTTAGTTATTTCCAGTGTCATTTCCCAGCCAGCATTCAAACCAGGTCAGGGTTTGTGGGCATCAACCCCTGACCAGTAGAGAGAACTCTATGTGCCCACCAGATAGTGGCAGAGGAGTTAGAGACTAGAAAGTTAAAGGCTATCACACTATATATGCATACATGTGCATGTGCATACACACACACACACACACACACTCTTGCAGCATACATAGAGGGCTTTACTGTGGACAAGGGAAACTTCCAGCTAGTTAGAAGTAGAATCACAGTTACAGGGATCAGTACTCATAAAAAATTCCTATAGACAGCAAATGATGCTCCACCTTTTCACTCTTACTACTCCTTCTTGACTGCTCACCACTATCCTGCTCACTCTCTCAGTCGCTGCCCAAATACTTCCACATAGAACAAGGCTGGTAAAAAAATCCTCTGATGGCTCGGTGCTGGTAGCTCAAGCAGCTAAGGCGCCAGCCACATACACCTGAGCTGGTGGGTTCGAATCCAGCCTGGGGCTGCCAAACAACAATGATAACTCCAACCAAAAAATAGCCAGGTGTTGTGGTGGGTGCCTGCAGTCCCAGCTGCTTGGGAGGCTGAGGCAAGAGAATAACTTAAGCCCAGGAGTTGGAGGTTGCTGTGAGCTGTGATGCCACAGCACTCTACTCAGGGTGACAGCTTGAGGCTCTGTCTCAGAACAAACAAACAAACAAACTCCTCTGATGCAACTTGAACTAATAATTGAAGACAAACTATTAAGCCACAGTTGCAAACTATGGGTTGTAAAAAGGAAGAAAATGATGAATAAAGCCTTGTTGAAAAATACACAAAAGAAACATGGAACACATGAAAAATAAGCCAGAAGAGATCATAAAATAAATGTCAGGAAAAATAATATACTACCACAGAAATGAAGGTGAATGGGCATTATTAAAAATAGTCATGGACATAGAATATAAGCTTGAGAAAACTAAGCAAAAATGAAATGGAAAATTACAGTTAAAAATTATTAAAGAAGAAACGGTAGATATGGGGAAAAAAAAGCAAGCTCTATGATCTGTATAATCTGTCCTCTAGGAAAAGAACAGAACAAATATAGGTTCTCAGGAAAGCTTTCCTGAAACAGAGGACCATGAATCTATAATTTACAGGACAATATGGTGTCCAAAGAAAAATTTATACAGATTAATAAAGCTCTATCATTGTAGAAGTAACTGGAATGCAGAAATAAAAAAGACATTCATAAGGGCTTTTAGGCTTTAAAATCAAGTCTGCTGCTGTATGAGAAATTCTCAGATGGGCTTTAGATTTTTATATAACAATATGGAATGTTAAAATTGAATATAGCAATCAATGCCTACAAAGTCATCTGAGAACAAGAATGTGACTCATGGCTTGTACAATAGCCCAAATTTTATTTCAGGATAAACACAATGGGTGATGATTTTCCACATTCAAACTAATAGGAAACATGATTTTCATAAACCTACTTAAAGAAATTTAGAGAAGATAGCTTTGAGGTAAATACACTTATTCATATTTTATAATGAGGTGTTAATAAATTTTGTTAATAAGTAGTTAAAATCTATTCTAAAATCTTATCAGCCCACCAGTCTACATTGTTTGGAATACATCTTTCCCCCTGTTTTGAAAAATTGTTACCATTTGTCTTATCCATATTCTTTCAATAGTACTGGAATGGTCCTTGTATCACATTTGCCAGTTGTTTTTAGCATCTTTGGATAATTTTCATCTAAAGCTAGAGACCTGAGCTTAGTTAAAGCAGGCAGGGACAACAATCTTGATTTCACTATACTCAGGGTCTTATTCCTATCAATCCAGTTGCTTTATTGTATTTTCTCTCTTGGTTAACCTTAAGGAAAGTAAGGAACACATGGAAAAGTGGGTAAAAATACCATTTTGAAACAAGAATCTGTTTAAATAAATATAAAACTATTAAACAACTGTAGTCCTTCCAATCCATCCAATAATCTAACCAACATTTATTCAGCTTTTACTATGAGTGTGATGCTGTGCAAGGATGCTGGCTAGAAATAAGATGTAGATAAGCCCCTGCCTTCAAGATGCTTGCAGTCTAATAAGGACACAGACAACTCTAATTCAAACAAGTAATTGTAATATCTGGAGCACCACCACTCTATCCCACCCCTGAAGAAAAACTACGTTTGTCTGGAAAATTCCAGAAAGGCTCTATGGAAAAAAAATAGCATTTCAGTTGGATATTAAAGAATGAGTAGGTCTTCATCAGGCAAGGAAAAAAAGAAAAGAGCATGCCAAGTAGAGAATACAAAATAAGCAAAGACACAGGCGGAAAGTTAATCATTTCCATTTAACTACCATGTAAGTGTACTGGAAAGTGAGGGGAGTAAGTGGCCCTAGAGATTGTTCTGTGGGTTGAAGATATAGAGTCCAAGTCTCTGGGTGACTCTGTAATTCTACCAACATCACACTTAGGTTTGATCTCACTAGAAGACAGCAACCCTTCATTATATTTGCCCTCTTTTCTTTGTGCCCAGCCCACATGCCAGGTTGCCAAGAAGCACTCCAGTTGAGAATTGTATTGATGACCCCAGTGAATAGCACATAGCCCCGCCTAGTTCCTGCAGGCTACAGGCTGCCCACTCCTGGTCCCAATACAGTTCTCTCAGGGGATGCTTCCCAGCCCCTCCTTTGCTGTACCTCACCTTCATCTCCAGGGCCTCTGGCACCTTCTTGCCTTCCCAAGCCCAACTCCGCTTGGTGAAGTAGTTGACAGTGGCAAATTCGATCAGCGCAGAAAATACAAAGGCATAACAGACGGCTATGAACCAGTCCATGGCCGTCGCGTATGCCACTTTAGGTAAGGAGTTTCTGGCACTGATACTCAACGTTGTCATAGTGAGAACAGTGGTGACACCTGGGGAGAGAGAAGATGCGAACCACTTGCAACTGGAAAACATTGACAGATTATTTAATGACATCACCAACTTCCCCCTTGAAACAAGAAGTTTATCCCACTCAAAATGTCCTCCTTAATGTATAAAACAGAGACTGTCAAGGCTAGATAGGTCCACCGAGTCACCCAAGTGGCACAGAAATACAAATCTCAGTACAGTACCTTTAACAGCTATCCTCCAGCCTCTGCGTAAACATTTCCGTTGAAGAGTAAATAGTCCTTTTTGTTATAAAAGAGTTTTTAATTAGAAAAACCTACCTTATGAACTGAAACCAGCTTATTCTAACTATCAGCCCACTGAGTGATCTCAGAGTTCCTTTAGGGGCCATGCAGGAAGGAAAAATATGCTCCTTCCTCTCCAGGACAGGCCTTCAAAGACCTGAAAAGGGTGGCTATGTTTTCTGGGGACTCTGCTCATCTCCAGAATGAACGTGGAGATTCATGTTCTCCTCATGAACTCTTTCTCGTCTTCACTTCCTTCCCCATTCTGGTAGTTTTCCTCTGAACATCTCATAATTGAGCCCAAGACTCAGGGCATCATCTGCATTCAGTAGGATTCTCACTTCCTAAAATCCTGGACACTCCTCTGATAATGCAACAAACCACTGTGGAAAATGATTCTGTAGTTGTGTCACACTCTAGGTCCTCACTGAGTTTTAGAACCAACCAAAGCTTTTCAAATCAACCAAATCTGTTGTTTGTGAGTTTTTGTCAGACTCGAGCTCACTTTCAGATCACCTAATTATTTTGTGGTGTGGTGCTCGTGTTATTAACCTAAATTCAAAACTTTACTCTCTTTAAATTCTGTTTTTATATTTTAGATATGCATATGAACCATATAGTGTGGGGATAACAATGTAAGCTTTAGGATCAAACTGAGGTAGGCTGAAATCTGGGCAATCCCACTTACTAGTAATGTGACCTTGAGTAAGGTGTCCTCCCCCATTAAACCTCAGTTTTATCATGTGCAGAATGGATGCAATAACACCAGATACAGAGATTTATTGAGGGGGGAGTTTGAAAGAAATATTTATAAAGTCTATAGCCTAATACTTGACACAGAGTAATCACTCCATAAATAGCAGCTTCTATAGTAAACATTATTATTTTTACTATTGTTTTGATATGAGTATCATCATCATTATACAATTCATCATGATTATAATCACATTTTAACAATGTTAGAAGAATTTCACAATTTCTAGCAATAGTATTGAAGTGTAAATGAGTATTACACTAGAAATTAGACATCTCAAGTGATTCCACTTACTTGATATGTATCTTAGGCAATTTCCTTAATCTCTCTGCGCCTCTGTTATCCTCATCTACAATTATTCCCAATTGTCTCTATCCCTGGGGATTTTGAAAAGGCAGTTGCTGTACACAAAGTCATTATACATGAGAAGCTGTTTCTGAGTGTGGTCATGCTATAGAGCAGTGGTTTTCAACCTTCCTAATGCTGCGATGTATTTTCATTCTTACAAAGGGGTCGTGACCCACAGACCCACAGGTTGAGAAGCGCTGCTGTAGAGGGTGGGAAACGGAAGTCTCCGGAGCCTGGGTTGAGAAGGGCATGGAACGAAGCCCTAATGAGGTAGATGATGGAGTGCAGAAAAGCAGGCAGAGAAGGTGCTGCCTCTGTTCACTGTACCCCAGGAGCCAGCCTTGTCTTGTGCAGCTTCTGAGGCTTCCTCTCCTATCTCCCTCTCCTGGGGTACCTTACTTAGATATTTGCTATACAATCAAAAATCGACACTGGAAAAGCCTGGAGTGCAGTTTCCACAGAGAGACCCTGAAGGAAGGCCTTCGCACAGACTAGGCAGGGAGTCATCCAGGCTGATTAACAAAAACACATTTTAAGCCCTGTCAGGAATCAGCCACACAGCTAGTAATTATTAACAAATTATCTGAATTTGCAACCTAGCACGGTATGCTCTGAGAATGGACCCAAGGCTTGGTAATCCTCAGATCCCACCAAGGAAGGAGGGACTTATGGGAGAAACAAGCTCTCTTATCTATGCAAATGCACTTGTCCACCCGGGCACATTCATAGCAGGGTGCTAGTGCTTAGACAGAGGGAACAAAAATACAAGTGTTTCTGTGACATATCTCGGCAGAGTTTTAGAGCTCTAGCCTCTAGGGCTTAATTAGAACTGTCAGCTTATGGAGTGCTCTTGGCTAGTGAGAGAGAGCTGGTAGGACCCTCAATCAAGCATTTGGTACACTTTAGGGATGGACAGTGAGATTCTCAGCATTTTAAAAGCAATCCAGCCTGTTACTGAATCCTTATTCTTCAAGACTGTTCTAGAAAGCCTTTCCAAAAAGGCTCAGGTAGAACTGACTGTCCTCCCTCACTTTTTCTGAGTACTTCTAGTATTCTTACTTGATAACATAGATCTGTCCTACCAAACCACGGGTGTGATGAGTGGAACTGGCTTTAACCCTCGGGCCCAGCCAACAGCCCATGATACTGTGCCATGTTTGCTGCCATCAGGGTTAACAGTGTACTTTTCTAATAGTTAACTGTATTGTTATTATTATCCGGTAATATAGTTCTTTTTTATCTTTTCTCTAACAGTACCAACTGTCCATCCTAGGGGCACAAAATTTAAAACATTTCAGACCACAGCATTCAAAATGAACACCCATTTTCCTCCATAGGAGATAATCTGAATTTATCATGTTTAACACACCTGTTTACCTCAGACATCACCACAAGGGCAAGGCTATTTGTGAATTCATTGTCAGTCAGGCTTAATCCTGTTTTACAAAGTGCATTGTTGAATCTGAACCTATCTCTCACACCTTCTCCAAACCCTTGCAACTGTTTAGCTCTGCTATTCTATGTATTGCAAATTCACCTATATTCTCAACCTCTTCACTGAATGCATATCCCCCTTTTGTTCTTAACTTAAATCCAATTCGTCTCTTGGGTACACTGTTTCAGTTCTCAAGAGGTTGTTGATAATTCAGAATCAAGAGCTCAAGAGCTGGAGTCCATATTTTTCTTGATGTCTAGTACTCCTTAGCCCATTATATGATCACAGTCTTATGGTAATCTGTGCCCCTTTGAGACTTCTCTGTCCACCTTTTCTCATGGGTATTAGCTGCAGAAGACTTCGATCACCCTAAAGATTGCTTTGTGTCCATACCATCCCCTGCTTGGTCTCAGGTAACTGCTGATCTGCTTTCTTCACTATGTATTAGAATCCTCCCTCCAAGTTTCATATGAATGTCATACAGGATGTACTTATTTGTGTGTGCCTTTCTTAACTCAGCATCATATTTTTAGGTTCATTCATGTTGTTGTACCTGTCTTTAGCTCATTACTGCTAATTTCAGAGTGGTATTTCATTCTGTTGATATAACCTGATTTTTTTATCCATTCACCATGGACATTTGGATTGTTTCCAGTGTTCAACTCCTATGCATAAAAATTCTAGGACAATTTACATCCAAGTCTGTGTAAACATATGCTTTCATTTCTCTTGGTAGATACCTAGGGAAGGAACTGGAAGATTATATGGTAAGTATATGTTTAACTTTATATGACACTGTCAAACCATTTTCTAAAGTGATTGTATAATTTAACATTCCTAGATTATGAGAGTTTCAGTCAGTGTGTACCCCTGACTTACAAAAAAAATATTAATTGGTACTTTTATACTTTTCCCTGATAATGGAAGTCCTTAGGATATTTTATCTTCATATATCCCCATATCAACTAATACAGATTATATTATGATCTAGTATTTTATTCTAAATATATATTTTTACCCAATAAACCATTGTTATCATTTTGTACATTCAGTGCTTATTTGCTTTTAATTATTTTTATTCTTGTTTTTAAAAGTCCACATGGTTATTACCCTTTCTTCTGAGATAATTTTCCTTTGGCTTGAAGAATATCCTTTAGTATTTCCTCTAGTGAAAGTCTAGTAATGATGACTAATTGTTAGTGTTTTATTATTTTTTCGGCTGAAAATATCTTCATTGCTTCTGTTGAAGGCAGCTGTCAATCTATTCATTATAACTTTAAAGGCAATGGGTTTTTTTCCCAGGATACTGTAGATGCTGGCATGAATGTGGAGACAAGGGAACACTTTTACACTGCTGGTGGAACTGCAAACTAATAGAACCTTTTTGGAAGGAAGTATGGAGAATTCTCAAAGAACTCAAATTAGACCTCCCATTTGATCCTGCAATCCCATTACTAGGCATCTACCCAGAAGAAAAAAAAATTATTTTATCATAAGAACAATTGCACTAGACTGTTTATCATGACTCAATTTACAATCACCAAAATGTGGGAAGAGCCTAAATGCCCACCAACCCAGGAATGCATTAATACCAGGGAATACTATTTCGCCATTAAAAAGATGGAGACTTTACATCTTTTGTATTAACCTGGATGGAGTTGGAACACATTCTCCTTAGCAAAGCATCACAAGAAGGGAGAAGCAAGAATCCAGTGTACTCTATTCTAATGTGAAGGTAGCAGATGAGCTAATACAAGGTGGGAGGGTAAAGGAATGAGGGATGGGGAGAGGGGAGATTAGAGGGGGGTTGGCAGGTTATGGTGTATGGCACACCTCTTGGGGGTGGGTCACAATTATAAGAGGGACTTTACCTAACAACCACAATCAGTGCAACCTAATTCATTGTACCCTAAATGAAAAACAAAAAGAAATAAACTATTTTTCAAAGTAGTTATTTTACTTTTCCATGAGCAGTGTATGAGAGTTCCAATTGTTACCCAAGTATCTAACAATGTCAATCTTTTTAATTTTATCCATTCTAAGTTTTAATTAATTAATGTCTCCTTGAGGTTTGAATTTGTATTTCCTTGATTAAAAATTATGTTAAGGATCTTTTCATGTGCTTATGGGCATTATTTGGGCATAATATATATTCTTCAGTGAAATAGCTGTTCATTGTTCATGCCTTTTGACCATTTTATAACTTGAATTCTTTGTCTTTTTATTATTAAATTGTAGGAGCTTTTTCTATTTGGGGATACAAATCCTTTGTCAGATCTGCACATCCATGGAATATTTTATTCCATTCCACAGCTTACCATTTCATTTTATTTAGGCTACCTTTTGATGAGCAGAAAGTTTTAATTTTGATGAGCTCTAATTTGGTTTTTTTTTATTGTTTTTTTTAATACACTAAGGAATTTCTGACTACCAAGAAATGCAAAGATAATTGTCTGATAGTTTCTTCTAAGAGCACCATACTTTTAGCTTTTACATTTAAGTCCATGACCAATCTCACATTAATTTCCTGCCATCTTTGTCATAAATCATGTTTCCATAGATGTGGCTCTACTTTTAGGCTCTCTATGGTTATTCAGTTATTTATTTTTTTCGTCTTATAACATACTGTCTTAGTAACTATAGCTTTTTAATCATTTTGATACCTTGTGGGGCAAGTCTTTCCATTTCTTGTTAAAGGAGGACATTGGACTCTTGGCTCTTTTATCTTACGTCTAAAATTCTGCAGTTATTTTTTAAATTAACATTTCAACTCACAGGTTCTCACATCAGTGCAATTAGTGTAAATATGAATTCTAAATTCGTGAGGTCAAGTTTGAATTAAAATATAAATTCTCAAGGCATAGTCCAGGCCAAAATAAATATGCTTCTTTACTGTCTCTCTGCACAAAGGGCTATTTTTCTAGTACTCTTGCAATAGGGCATAGCCTTTCAGTGGTATTAAATTTGTGGGAAGGGCTCTTGTATTAATTTCCTACAGCTGTGTAACAACCAACCACACATTTAGTTGCATAAAACAACAAAAATGTATTCTTACTGTTCGGGATGCCAGAAGTCTAAAATTAGTTCCACTGGGCTGAGGTCAGGTGTCAGAAGGGCTTTGCTCCCTCTGGAGGCTCTAGAGCAGTGGTTCTCAACCTTCCTAATGCTGCGACCCTTTAATACAGTTCCTGTGGGTCACAACTCACAGGTTGAGAACTGCTGCTCTAGAGAGATAATCCATTGCCTTTTCTAACTTCTAAAGCCACATTACTTGGATTCCTTGACTCATGGGCCCCTTCCTATTTCTTCAAAGCCAACAGCAGAACATCTTCAAATCTCTCCTCCTTCCACTACTCCTCTGTAGTCAAATCTCCCTCTGCCTCACTCTTACAAGGATATTTTGATCACATTTAGAGCCCATGCAGATAATCTAGGATAAGCTCACCATCTCAAGATCCTTAACTTAATCACATATACAAACTTTTACTTTTGCTATATAGGTCACATTCACAGGTTCCAGGGACTAGGACATGAATATCTTTGGAAGCCAATATTCAGCCTACCACAATCTTAGCTCCAACCCATAACTCCATTGAGACTCAATGCCTTCTTGCATAACATAAACACTCAAACTCTTGTTTACTGATACCAGTAATCCATCCCAGTATATTATATTTCTGCCACAACTGTATCAGTTCATGTGATCAACACTCCAGTTCTCAGTTCATTCTTCCATTTGATCCCCTGAGTACTTCTTTTAATTTCTTATAAGCTCAGATATTAACTTAAAAGAATGGTTTCTATTTTTTTTCTAGCTTTTTCTAGGATTTTGTAGAGGAAGATTTTTCAGGGTGTCTAGTTTGTTGTACTTCTCAGAATGGGCATCATTAACTCACTATCACAGAGCTTTTTCTCCCTCCACTTTACTAGAAGTGTTCTATTCAAGATCACTAACAACCAAGTACATCAGTGTACCCAAAAGACAGTTTCTAACTGCATCTTATGTAAATACACAGCAGTATTCATCCCAGATGATTGTTTGCTGCTTCTTGAAATACTGTCCTCTATTGACTTTCAGGATATCATACCCTCATGATTTTTTTTTTAACTTTTTCCTACTTTACAGGCCACTCTTTCTCTTTTGCCATTGCGTCTCCTCCTATACTGGGCCTACAATGCTGCTTCTTCGTGAAACATAATTCACTATTTGTTTTACTACCCAGTACGGTTTCAGACTATCTATAGGAATGTCTTCTCTGTGGATACCAGGTACATTCAAGTACATGCCACACTACCACCATTGCCATGGAGGCACCGCAGTAGCTGAAAATAATTAATTTTTATTCATTTACTGCAGTGGGAAAAACAGAGAAAAATGTTTTGTATGTAATAAGTCTGTGAGAAAACGGTGCTAATGATCTGTAAACCTCTTCCTAGACATCCATAAATTCATATTGAAGAAAATTCTTCTTATCGTAAGTACTATTGAGAGAATCTTCAAACTTTGTGCAGCCTTTGCTGAATATCAAATAATTCATACTTTCAAAAAGCCTAGAGGAAAAGCAGCAAAGTCTGATGCTCATATTTAAAAATGGGTCTTAAAAATGGCCCTAATCCACTTCTCAGTTGTCAGTTTGCTTTCCCAGCCGTTACCTTCTCCAGTCTTTGCACTAAATTTCTCTTTTTCGCTGAAGGCTGCATCCCTTCCCAGCTCTTGGGGCAAACCAGACTGAAATAAGAGGCATTTCCATAATCTCATTACTTCAACATTTTTCTCCTATTTCCTTGTTAAGAATTGAGTTGCCTAACTCCCCATAATCTGATGATTCAGTTACCACCGCCAGGTTCAGGCATTGTGCTCATTCTTTCCAGGCATTCTTCACCTTTCTTACCTTTAATCTGACAGCCCATGGCAAGTCTTTGCAAGTGTCTCTCCCCCACTCTCCATAAAGCAACACTCACCAAAGACCGTTCGGGCAGGGACAGACTCTCTGTTGAGCCAGAAAGACACTTGTGACAGAATGACAGTCATGATACATGGCAAGTAGGTCTGGATCACAAAGTAGCCAATTTTTCGCTTGAGATGGAAGTGGGTTGTCATGACGACATATTCTCCTAGAGAGAGAGTAAAATTAGGCAGCATGTAGCTACATAAACATTGTTAAATCTAGTTGCCCTCCCATGCATTTCACAAATCTCTGTAATCTTGTATGTAAGATAAGTACCCAGGATCTCCCAAGTGCACATAACCAGTGCTCTTTAACAATCATAAAGTAGTGTGTTTTTTATGTAGGAAAAAATGCTAACAGTATACCAATATGCCTTGCTCAGAACAATTTCAACACAAGTTCATCTAAGTAAATTTATGTCCTCATTAAATAATAATAAGAAATAATAATTTCTTCTACAGCACTTGCTATGTGATAGGCACTCATCTAGCATTTTAACATAATTAAAATATTTAATCTTTATAATGACCCTATGAGGTAGGTCCTATTCTTATCCTCATTTTACAGATAGTGACGGTGGGGCAAAGGCACATTGAGCACCTGGTATGAGGTTACCCAGCTAGTAAGTAGTAGACCCCAAATTCAAGCCCAAATAGGTTGGCTCCACAGTTTATGCTTTTAGATCACTATGTTCTAATGCACTTACTTGGTTATAACCAAAAGTTTAAGAGGCAGAATGTGGGCTGACCTATACTATCCCACAACCAAAATTAAAGTGAACACTTACTGCACTCTTACTGGGTGTCAAACAATGTTCTGAGTGTTCTTAAAGTATTAGTTTTATATCCTCCTAACATGCCTGTGAGGTAGGTACTTGTAGCCTCCAGAACTGAGTCAATAAATTTCTGTGGTTTTAAATTGGCTGGTTTGTGATGTTTTGATATAGGAGCTCTAGAGTTCCTTACTCCAATCTAGCTTTGTATATTCACCTACCAGTTAGAGGCCTCTACTTGGAGATCTAATAGGCATCCTGATCTAACACGTCCAAACCTTGACTTTCACTCTCCCCATCCCTTATCTCCTCTAAATGGGCTCCTCCAACAGGTTTTCTCATCTCAACAAATCAGTAAATGGTAGCTCTCTGGTGCTTGTGCTTCTCCTTCTCTCTCTCCTTCTCCCTCCTCATTGTCTTCTCTTACTTGTGCACGACACATACACACACATGCATATACACAGAATCAATCAATCAGCAAACTCCTTCAGTTCTTCCTTCAAAATAAATATATCTGCTATTTGACCACTTCTCGCCATGTCCATTACTACTAGTCTAGTCTAAGCCACTATCATCTCTCACCTAGAGTACTCTAATAGCTTTTGAACTGGTCTTCTTGCTCCTGCCTTTGCCCCTCTTTAATGTATTCACAGTACAACAGCTAAAATGACTTTATTAAAACATAAGTCAGATGATGTCTCTCTTATGTTCAGGATCCTCCAATGGTTTGCCATCTTTCAAAGAAAATAGTCCATAAGGACCTTTGCAGTCTGACCACTCTAATACTTCTCTTGTCAGAGCTTCTTATTTTTCACCCCTCTTCCTCCACCTACATATGTTTTTGGCAGAATTCCCAAATGAGGCAATTTCCCACTTTCTACCCTACCCACTCTCTTGTACCTAAGCCTAGGAAGCACCATCTGGTCATCCATAGCTCAATATACAATCCATATTGTGTGTGTATTCACATCCCAGCTTGTTTATGTGAACATGAAAAATACAAGTAGGCTTATTTTTAATGTAGCAAAGGATCTACACAAAACTACGAAATGTTTTTCCTTGTTACAACTTTGGAATTTCTACCTTTTTTCTTTCTTTCTGCTTCTTTTTCAGTCTTTTCCTTTTTTCTCTTTCTCTCCTGTGTATGTCCATGTCTATTCATCTCTCTCCTTCCCCTTCCCTTCACTCTCTACCCACTGAGAAGGCATTGAGAATTTATTTTTTCATGAGAGTTAGACTTTGATTAGCTTGAACAATTCTCCCCCTTCCCTTCTTAGTCCCATACTCTTGAACCTCTACCTATTAATCTTATTTCTGATCACGGAAAATATTTAATATATAAAACATGAAATAAATGTTATTTATAAACAAGTTATACTCTGGATCTGAAAGGCAAAGTAAATGGACTTTTCAAAAGCTGAGGAAATTAAGCATTTGTTTGAATAACTATTTCAAACATATTGAACAAGTTGATTTTCTTTACTACTCTCCTTCTCTTTTTGTCTTGCTGTCTCTCTTTCAAAGATGCAAAGAGAATTCTCCTTAGTGAAAACTGAAGTCTTTCACTGTGTTGGGAAGATTTACCCTGTTTCTGTCCTTGTATTTGTAGATGTATCTGGATTCAGTGTAAAATAGTCAAAGGGACAATAGAAAGCCACTTGTGCATATTCACAGGTATTCACAGTCTAAATCATTTCTATGGGCAAAATTACTAGTGGACTTTTACAAAGATTAGCAGATTAACTCATTGTGTCAATTAACTAAATAGGTTTTCCTAAATACTACTCTGATATTTTGTATTTCTCTACATCTTTTTTCTCTGCCAAAGTGAAAATTGAAGCTTTAATCAGATTGGAAGATTTTCCCAACTTCCCCATCCTATTTCCACCCTCCTGCCCCAGCTTATTAAGCTCATTAAGTACCATCTGTGTTGTGTATGAAATATTCAAGGGTACGATATAAAACATATAATGCATATGTATTCACAAATTAGTTGTCTATGGATCAGAAATACGGAACAATTTAGCTAATTGATACTTTATATAACTGAATATATTTTCCTAAAGTAGACTGTTACTTTCCCTCCCTCCTTGCCTCTATTCTTGCCTCTCTCTGCATTTATTTTGAAGGATGACCCTTTAAATGGTTTGGGAATTTTCCCCTTCCTTGGCATTCCAGCCTTATAAGCTCCATCTGTGTTAAGTGTGAAATATTTGAGGATACAACGTAAAACACATTCACAACTTAGCTAGTTTCTAAGACTGTGAAACACACAAGAGGGTTTTTTAAATAGCTTGGCAAATTAACTCATTATACAAAGTAAGTGAATACATTTTCTCAAACCCATCTTTGGTAATTTTCCATTTCTCTATAACTGTTTCTTGTTCTTTATCTTGCCTCCTTTCTTCTTTCTATGTCCATCTCTCTGGTTTCTCTTTGTGTTTCTTTCACGCTCCTGTTTTCTGCATTGTCTTTCCTTACATACACCACACATCTACAGAGATAATATATACAATGAGAAGAACTGCTATTTGAACCAACGATTACATTTTTAGGAAAGATGGAAAAGTGAGGTTATGCATCCTAACTACCCTTTCAGAAAATTCATATAATAATGTATTGACTAAGAGGAAAAAAAGGAATGGAATGGGTGGCGTCTGTGGCTCAAAGGAGTAGGGCACTGGCCCCATATACCACAGGTGGTGGGTTTAAACCCTGCCCCAGC